CTCTCCGTCGGTGCCACGTGCGTCGGGATCGTTTTTTTTTAAACCGATGGCTCGGTGGCTCCGGTGCTCGTCCGGCGAGCCGGGCTTGAACAACGCAGTGAAGTGGAGGATATTCTCTGGCCTTTGAATCGCTGTGAGTGCATGCGCAGACAGGATGCCGGGACCGCTATGGCAGGAGAGAGAGAGAGATTAAGCCAATCGGGAGCTCGGAAAGGAGGGCGGCAGGAGCACGCGGCAGATGCAAGCGGCAATCGGCGCGATGAGCGTCCGGGGACGAGAGCGCAGGGTGGCGGCGGAGGGCAGATCGCCGAGACGCCATCGGAGGGGCTCCCGGGGGAGAACGTGAAGCCAGCGTGGCGACGAGGAGGCGACGATGCGGTGTCGCGGCGTCGTCTGGCAGTGGATAGAGGATGGTCCGCAGCCGTAAGATTCTAACCCGAATGGGAAATTGCCTTGCTGTTAATCAACAATGATTATGAGACATGCGAAGGGCGCGCTTCATGTTTCGAAACCATCCCTCTCGCGATCCGCAGCAGCAGCAGCGGAGGAGGAGGAGTGAGTGTTTAGGTCAGTTTTGAATCTTGAGAGAGGCGGCGGACGTCTTTATCCCTGGGCGGCTTCGACCGTCTGGACCCGAGCACGTGACCCGAGCACGTGACCTGAGCACGTGTCCCACACGTGACCCGAGCACATGTCCCACACGTGACCTGTACGCTTCCCCGTACGCTTCCCCGTACACGTGGCCCGCACGTGTGGCCCACACTCGGCCCCTACGTGTCGTTTGTCGTGGGTGGCGCGACAAGGCCCCCATGCCAAGCAGCCCGGATGTGTGGCCGGAGTGTCGGAGACGGTGTGGGATGTGCAGCTCTGCTCCCTGATTTACCCGCCAGAGGATCGGATTACTGGGGCAGCGCTAGTTGCCGATCGATCTTTACCCTGATCATTTCCCAAAGCGGCTGGCGGCTGCCTTCGCGCTCATAAATCAATCGTTTTATTCATGCGTCGTCAGTTAATTCCCAAATGTTGTTCGAGCGCACACGCGACAGAATGGGGATTTAATTTTCTTTAATCTCTCCGAAATGTCTGCTTTCGTGTCGTTGATGTTGAACGCACCGCTTGTTGCCATTGTTGTTATTGTTCGTCCGTGTGTCTGCTGGATGTGTGCAGTGTCGTGAGTCGCTGTTGTGTTTGTGCGACCGTGACAGGCCGTTGCGGTGTCCTCCGCGCCGTGCAGCCGCCTCGCCTGAGTGGCTCGCCTCGTGTCGAGGCCGTGCCCCCGGGCTGTCCGATACAAGTTCCGTTTGTCAGTGGGAACTGCTTTAAAGTCGCTTTCACTCGCACGGCCAGGGCTGCCGGGAGTGGGGGAGAAAGGGAGAGTCTGCAAGAGTCCTCGCACAAAAGAGCACCCCCCCCACCGGAGCCCCGTGTTATTGTCGCCTCGTCAAGAAGTAGGCCCCGCGTGACATCGGGGCCCAACGCCTCCAGGTACCTCCGTCTGGCCCCGAGCGCCATCATCAGGCCCTCGAGAGGCATTCAGGAAATTCTAAACGAGGGCCACGCGTTTCGTCTCTGTGACCTCCACTTGCACACTGTCAATGTGGAGGGACCCTACGCAGGGCTCCGGGGTTCATCTTCACGGCGGTGACTGAGGCTGCCATCGAGTCCAGCCAGCTGGATCCCTCGCGGCCACAGAAGCGCCGCGACCTCTCGCCCCCCCTCCCCCCCCCCCGCGCCTTGCGCCGAGACTTGCCAACAGATTCGGGGAGAACGTTCTTTCATCGTTACCTGGACGTCGCTTCTACGCCGAACATCGGCTCCACCCCCCCCCCCCCCCCCCCCCCTCAATCGCTCCTCTCGGAGGCACTGAAGTCACCGTTTGCCCAGTGAGCGCAAGACGAGCGATGGCGGCGTCGGGGCGGCAGGCGGTGAGGTGGGGTGAGGTGGGGTGAGTTGGGGGTCACAGATGAATGGGCAGGGTCGCGCTTTACAGTTGCCGCTCTAAACGCTGCGTTGCTGCCATGGGTCAGCGGCGGGGCCACTCTGCTGCGGAGGTTTCAAACGGCACGGTTCGCATTCTCGGCACCCTCCCGCGTGAGCCGGCGTCATAAATTAAATGAGCCGCTCCCTCTCAGTGTGGCGCTCATCGATGAGGAATTAAGCATTCTGTCACCCGCCTCGCAGTAATGATCTGCAAATCCGCGTGAACGGCCCGTCGGCGGTGTCTGGATGAAGGCCGTTCGCCGCGGTCGGCATGCAACGTGGCCTCTGAGGTTCTGACTCGGTCAAACGAGAGCGTAGTTTCTGTCCCACCCATCGCCATTGGTGGCTTGCAGTCAGTGGATGGTGTTCCACATTCTTACGCCAAACAGAAGTAAGAAGAAAAACGTTTTGAGTGTCCGTAGCCTGCCGATGCGAGCGAGCGTCGCGACGCTGGCGTGGGAACGTGTCACGTGGGGTGAGCCTCCTCGCCCGCCCACCGGTTCCGTCACTGGAGTCCTTGACCGATTCCGCTTACTGATTGGGCATCCGCTGACTGATTGGGTGTCGGTTGTTATAGAGAAAAAAATATTTATCGATATTCGGCCTGCGTTCATATCCCTGGCTTGGGGATCATGTCGGCTCATCACCCCTAGGGGAAAGTGGGCGGGCGGGGGGGGCAGGGGGATAAAATGAGAACCGCTTCGTGGAGAGCCAACGTTTGACTCCTGCCATAAAAAACGTAGACAGTGATTCGTTGGGTGTGCGACTCCTGTGCGGATGATCACTGCCCCCCTCCGTCCGTGTCCATGTGGCGTGAATACGGCGGACACCGAGTGACTGTGCCACCACTGGGGAGACAAAGGCGGCCGGGCGTGGTGCTGGCTACTCGTGTGTAATCCTGGCCTTCATGAGTGCTCGCTGACGGCACCTGCCCCAACAGCCTGTGAAGGCTACACCAGAGAACAGCACCCCCATGTCCACGGTTTACCCAGGAAAGCCCCTCGAGTCTAAGACTCCATTTCAGGAGTGTCCTGCTTGGGGCTGTTTGGCCAATGCCACGAATGAGTGGGGCGCATGGATGGGGGTATGGCACAACTCGGAGTAAACCCTCCATGCATACGAAGGAGTTGCCGCTTGAAACTCCACACAGATGGATGTAAGTCCCATCTCCTAGGCATCCAGTTGAGTTTTGGAGTTTATCAAGTCCCGACACGCTCCACCAACCCTCGCGTCTAGAGTAACGGAGCATGGGGGCCCGGCGCTGCTGGCCGAGCGAGCGGCAGGAGCGGTGGGGTCGTCACGAGCTTGCCGGCACGGACTCCGGAACGTCGCGGCGGAGATCTCCCCGTGCCGGCCATGCCCGCGATCGCCTCGCCGCGTCGGGAGCGAGGGGAGCGGCGCCGCCCGCTCGCGCTCGGTGACCCGAGGGGTCGGTCCCTCGCCACGGCTCGCATCGGCGGGGAGCGTCGTCGGGATGGGTCCTCGGTCGAATTGGCGTCGCACGAGCGCCGTACCCGGCGCGTCGCGTAGCCATCAGAACCAGGAAGACGAAGGCGCTCGTGCACCGTGTGAGACCTGATAGGCGCTCGGTAACAGTCTCGTGAAGCCTCCACAGGGGCACCGTGCTCTTTGTGTTCGTGGTGTCAGCGATTCACGCGTTGCCCTCCCGATTCCAGGGCAGATTGCACAACCCACAATCGTGTTGCGCTGCCAATGGTATCTGAACGTGCGTTGGGGCCTCCCCTAAGTCAACTCGCCATGAATGAGCACCCGGCGCAGTGCGTGAATTCTCAAAGCAGGGGGGGGGGGAGGTACCTCGCTCCCACCCCGTGCAGGCCGTGGGTGGAAGCGTTTAATGGGAATCGAGTCGCCGTGCTCAGCCGTGCTAGAGAGCTGGGTCCGTAGCCGTGCGGGGCCCGGGCAGCTCAGTCGATAACCAATTAAGGCCCCTTCAAAGCGAGGCAGGTTATTTATTTATCTCCGCTGCCGTGAAACCCAAAGGACGTTCACCGCACTCCTCCGAATCTCGCGCCTCCGCACGCGTCCCTCATCGATCGGCCTTTGCGCTGACCGTAGTTACCGGCGGCGACCCGGTAAGCGGACAGACGTTCTGCCCCGAGCACGCTGCTGGCGGCGGCGGCGCAATTATGGAGTTAACGAGAGCGATTGCCCCGACGCCGGCTCGTGAAGAGGGAAGCCCCCGGTAGCGGCCACGGCCGTGCCGGCAGCGGCTCGCGTGGCCGTCCGCTCGTTAGTGCCGCGTCACGGCGGTGGAGGCCGCGTGCGCCGTCCCCTGGGGTGACGTCCAAACACCTCGAGCCCGGCGGCGCCGGGGTACGGCAATTATCTGGGAGGACCCCAACCCTCGCCATAGGGGTGTGGAATGTCGCCTGGCTGGGGATCAATGCCGTCCCGATGCCCCGGTGCGCAGGGAGTCTCGCCGGCTGTGTTCGCCGTCGCCTCCGGTTATTCCCGTCTCCTTCGCATGTTGGAGTTTACTTCTCTTCGGTTTCCAGGGATAAAAATAACGTAATTTTTTTTTAATCGGTTTTGTTCTGTCGGATGAATGAGCAGATAGGAGCGTGCTGGGAGAGATCCCAGTGGCGGGACTAAAGCAGGGAACTGCTGCAGTGGTCAGATGTGTACGTCAGACGGGCAATTCGGAAGAGCTGGGAATTGGTGGAGAGTTGTGCAATGATTGTGCAGGCTTCACGAATCTGTTGGGAGGGAAGAGACGTTGGGAGCTTCTCGGTTGTTAGGTACGGAAGCTAGAGACGGCGTAGCATTGACCTGGTCCACTGTGACTCCACTGTGCCGCCGTGACCCCACTGTACCGCCGTGACCCCACTGTGCCGCCGTGACCCCACTGCGCAAAAGTGACCCTTACCCCACTGTGCCGCCGTGACCCCACTGTGCCGCCGTGACCCCACTGCGCCGCCGTGACCCCACTGTGCCGCCGTGACCCCACTGTACCGCCGTGACCCCACTGCGCCGCCGTGACCCCGCCGTGTCGTTGGCAGGGGCGCGTTCTCGGAGGTGGTGCTGGCGCAGGAGAAGGCGTCGGGCCGTCTCTTCGCCGTCAAGTGCATCACGAAGCAGGCACTGCGCGGCAAGGAGAGCAGCATCGAGAACGAGATCGCCGTGCTGCACAAGTGAGAGGCGTGTGCGTGCTGGCGAGACGACGCGGCTCCGCTTCGCGTTGAACCGACGCTGCTGAAATTTCGCGCTCCCAGAAGGCCGTGTGGCCGACGGGATGCGTGTACAAATAAGTAAACGCTTGTATATATTTTTTTACGTGGAGGGGGCGGATACGTGGTGACGGAGGAGGTGTACTGTTTAGTTATCGATTAGTTCCCCCTGCTCTCTGCAACGACGTGGATGGTTACTTATCGAAGTGGCCTTAAGAGCGAGAACCTCGTGAGGTGCTGCTCGTGACGCCTCTCTTTGAGGTTCGCACGATCGTCACAGCGCCTCCCTCCCTCCCTGCGGTGTGAAGAGCTTAGCAAGGAACTCGTTACTACAGTGAGGGAAAAAAGTATTTTGATCCCCTGCTGATTTTGTACGTTTGCCCACTGACAAAGAAATGATCACTCTATAATTTTAATGGTAGGTTTATTTGAACAGTGAGAGACAGAATAACAACAAAAAATCCAGAAAGACGCATGTCAAAAATGTTATACATTGATTTGCATTTTAATGAGGGAAATAAGTATTTGACCCCTCTGCAGAACATGACTTAGTACTCGGTGGCAAAACCCTTGTTGGCAATCACAGAGGTCAGACGTTTCTTGTAGTTGGCCACCAGGTTTGCACACATCTCAGGAGGGATTTTGTCCCACTCCTCTTTGCAGATCTTCTCCAAGTCATTAAGGTTTCGAGGCTGACGTTTGGCAACTCGAACCTTCAGCTCCCTCCACAGATTTTCTATGGGATTAAGGTCTGGAGAATGGCTAGGCCACTCCAGGACCTTAATGTGCTTCTTCTTGAGCCATTCCTTTGTTGGCTTGGCCGTGTGTTTTGGGTCATTGTCATGCTGGAATACCCATCCACGACCCATTTTCAATGCCCTGGCTGAGGGAAGGAGGTTCTCACCCAAGATTTGACGGTACATGGCCCTGTCCATCGTCCCTTTGATGCGGTGAAGTTGTCCTGTCCCCTTAGCAGAAAAACACCCCCAAAGCATAATGTTTCCACCTCCATATTTGACGGTGGGGATGGTGTTCTTGGGGTCATAGGCAGCATTCCTCCTCCAAACACGGCGAGTTGAGTTGATGCCAAAGAGCTCCATTTTGGTCTCATCTGACCACAACACTTTCACCCAGTTGTCCTCTGAATCATTCAAATGTTCATTGGCAAACTTCAGACGGGCATGTATATGTGCTTTCTTGAGCAGGGGGACCTTGCGGGCACTGCAGGATTTCAGTCCTTCACGGCGTAGTGTGTTACAAATTGTTTTCTTGGTGACTATAGTCCCAGCTGTCTTGAGATCATTGACAAGATCCTCCCGAATAGTTCTGGGCTGATTCCTCACCGTTCTCATGATCATTGCAACTCCACGAGGTGAGATCTTGCACGGAGCCTCAGGCCTAGGGAGATTGACAGTTATTTTGTGTTTCTTCCATTTGCGAATAATCGCACCAACTGTTGTCACCTTCTCACCAAGCTGCTTGGCAATGGTCTTGTAGCCCATTCCAGCCTTGTGTAGGTATACAATCTTCTCCCTGACCTCCTTGGAGAGCTCTTTGGTCTTGGCCATGGTGGAGAGTTTGGAATCTGTTTGATTGATTGCTTCTGTGGACAGGTGCCTTTAATACAGGTAACAAGCTGAGATTAGGAGCACTCCCTTTAAGAGTGTGCTCCTAATCTCAGCTCGTTACCTGTATAAAAGACACCTGGGAGCCTGAAATATTTCTGATTGAGATGGGGTCAAATACTTATTTCCCTCATTAAAATGCAAATCAATTTATAACATTTTTGACATGCGTTTTTCTTGATTTTTTTGTTGTTATTCTGTCTCTCACTCTTCGAATAAACCTAACATTAAAATTAGAGACTGATAATTTCTTTGTCAGCGGGCAAACGTACAAAATCAGCAGGGGATCAAATACTTTTTTCCCTCACTGTACCTCCGCCGATTCACTTCACGTAAGTTCCGTGGGCAGGGATGACGTCGTTGTCACACTTACTTTTGGTTTGGGATTATGATTTAACCCCCCCCCCCCTACAAATCAATAAACGTCGCAGGTGGCGTCGTTATTTTGAGTGAATCTGTAAGCGGTTGTGGGTAACGCAATGGGAGGGCAGCCGCTCGCTCCTGCTGCGGTCTTCTCTTCCACCGCTGTTGGAATTCGCGTTGACGTTCCTTTGAGGTTTGGCGTTGGGCGCTGATTCCGGCTAGTCAATCGCGGCACTCGCAATGGGCCCATTGTGATCGCGAGGCTATACGATGTGTCTCCACCGACGCCCAGAGCCCGCAGGCGCAAATTCCACGTGCCCGTGACAGGTGCCGGTCTCTCTACATAACGGCTCTTTGGCTTGCCAAAGAGTGCGGAACGTCATTTTATCGACAACGCAGAGATGATAGGCGGATCCGATCCCCCAATCTGGATGTGAATGAAGGCGCTTTTAGAATCACAAATCGGACAAACACGCGCCAGCTGGTGATGATGGTGGTGGTGTTGGGTGGTGTCGGTGGTGGTGGTGGTGGCGATGCTGCTGCTGCATCTCAACGGCATCTAGAAACCCATGACCGTGGTGGGTGGTGCAGGGAACACATTGTGTGTCCTGCACACAGCTGACGTTGTAAACATTCAAATTGCCGCTCATAAACATGCAGTTGTTAACGTGGGCATCGGGGTGATCGTGGTGTCGGCGCCAGCGCGTGCCGCTCGTTGTCCGTTATCTGATGAATGCCGATCGGCTAACGGACGTTTGGCCATGCGCACATTTAACATTTGTCGATTTCTTATCAGGATTGTTCGGTATCATCATCGGAGCCGGGGGGCGGCTTTTAGGCGACGATCCACGCATCGAGGTCACCCGTGTGGACGTGGTGCGAAGTCAAACGGTGGCTGCTCAAATCGGTCAGAAGCAGGCAGGCAGCCAGGCCCGATGTTGGGATGCTTGACCACCCCCGTTCGTGAGCGTGGGATTCGTGTCATCCTCACAGCGCAAGGCTATCACAAAGGTGCTGCGGTGTTTCACAGATAGCTATAATCTGCTAGTAGTTGGTGATGTCCCTCTCTGTGGTTTCGCCCAATGAAGAAATCCAAGTAAACATTCAAAATTTGACAAATATAGCCCGGGGACCCCGGCGCACGCGGCCTCCCTCCCATGTCTCTCTCGCCATGTCGCGGCGTCTATGGCGTCCACCGTGGCGTCCACCGTGGCGTCCACCGTGGCGTCCACCGTAACGTCCACCGTAATGTCCACCGTGGCGTCCACCACGGAGTGGACGCCGGGTTCGCAGCGCCGATCTCCACAGCGAGCGGCAGGCGCTGCCGCTCGGCCTCGTCGCATGATCCACCAACCCCTCCTGCACGCTCCAGATTAGAACTGCGCCTGTGATGCCAGGGGGGGCTGGGGGGTTGGGGGGGTATGGGGGGGTGTGGGGGGGAGGGTGTGAAGGATTGCCGAGCGGAGGTGCTGTGCGTGCTCTACGGGGGGAGAGCGATTGAATTGGCTCCGTGGAAGACGGACTGTGCCACTGCCGCTGAATGGAGCAATTCCAGTTGCTGATTATTCCATCTCCAGCCCTGAATATATATTAAATATATAAGATATATTATTAAATAGGAGCCCCTCCGCGGACAATGCCCAACGGAACGAACGCTGCTGTGCGAACCCGGTAACCCGGGCCTGATCCCCGCCGTGCGCGCCTGCGAGCTGCTCGTTTATCAACAAAGCAAATCAGGAGCTTGATGCGCTCTCTCTGCTCGAGTGAAAAACGAGGCGGGCGCTCATTTCGGTTTTGTTGGCATCGGGCCAGCGGCTGAGGTTCCGGCGATCCGCATTCCCCCCCCCCCCCACCCCGGCAGCCTCTGCAAACGGCGAGGGGAAAAATTCCCGTGACAGCGGCGGCAGGGATGGCGTTGAGCAGGGCTCGGGAGCGGGTGGCCCCAACGGCACGCCAGCAGCAGCGTGGTGTTGCCGTGGTGTGTGCGTGACGATCTCGGCCTTGCCTAGACCCCCAGCTCACCAGAACTGAACGCCGCGGCCCGCGTTAATTGCCGCTCGGGCCACCGGACTCAAAGAGAATTTGAAAAATGTGGCAGCCCCTGCAGGCGGCAGTGGCAGTGTGCACAGACGGGTTTTGTGCTCATTAGGACTCGTCGGTGCAGCGCACGTGACGTGCGTGCCCTCCTGCCGTTTGCGAGCGGTGCCGCCTCCTCTGTCAGGCGAGCGGTAACGTTAGCGTCCCACGGAGCGGTCCGCATTTCGTCAATCCCCGTCCGGGATTAGAGTCCACGACTTCCCCTGAGGTCGGTGTCTCTGTGTACGGAGCTAAATATATTTAGTTTACAAATGCAGAGCCAAGGGCTTCCGATTGCGAAGCTGGAATGCGATGGTCCTGGTCACTCTGTACCTTGCTTGAATAAATATTATGAAAATGTGTCCCTTAAGCATCGCGTAATTCCCGCGAGTCACGCAATTTGAATGTTCCGTCTATGAGAAGGAGGGGGTGGCTGGGTGGTAGGTTGGGGGGTGGCTGGGTGTGGGGTGGTTGGGTCTGGGGTGACTGGGTGGTTGGGTGGTTGGGTGGCTGGGTAGTTGGGTGGCTGGGTGGTTGGGTGGTTGGGTGGCTGGGTAGTTGGGTGACTGGGTGGTTGGGTGGTTGGGTGGCTGGGTAGTTGGGTGACTGGGTGGTTGGGTGGTTGGGTGGTAGGTTGGGGGGTGGCTGGGTGGCTGGGTGGTTGGGTATGGGGTGGCTGGGTGGTAGGTTGGGGGTGGCTGGGTGTGAGGTGACTGGGTAGCTGGGTGGTTGGGTGGCTGGGTGGCTGGGTGGTTGGGTGGCTGGGTGGTTGGGTGGTTGGGTGGCTGGGTGGCTGGGTGGTTGGGTGGCTGGGTGGCTGGGTGTGGGGTGGCTGGGTGTGGGGTGGCTGGGTGGTTGGGTGGCTGGGTGGCTGGGTGGTTGTGTGGTTGGGTGGCTGGG